AGTTATCTCTGGTTTCCTATCAGAAAGGAAGCAGTGGTAAAGTTCACAAAGTCTTCTCTCACGCAACACTGGCTAGTTCCTCAGTGCAACCTTTGAATTATGTATGTAATACAGATTGGGGTAGGGAAAGACGAGACTCTTTCATAATCAATTTATATTGGGGGGGGGGAGTTTACTCCAACTCTCCTTTCCTTGAGAAAGTAAGATGGGACTGCTGAATGGGGCCAATGACCCATCTAGTCCAGCATCCTGTTATTTTGGTTGGGAAGCCCACAAAGAAGGACCTGAGCACTCTGCCCGCCTGCAATTTCCAGCAACTGGTATCCAGAGGCATATTCAATTCTTCTCTTAATGATCTGAAGCAGGGAATTCACCTTTTTCAAAGCTGCCGCATGCTGGGTCAATATCTCCATCCAGCTGTCTACTGTGACCTCAAGGTTCCTGGGTTTGTTCACACCCCATGAGAACATATGTAAAACTAAGATGTTTTTGTCTCAATGTGCATCACTTGATACTTGCTTCACTTCACTTAATTTGCCATTTTATTGCCCATCCACTCAGTTTGGAGAGGTCCTTCTGGAGCTGTTCAGAATCTCTTCGTTTTAATGACCCTGAACAATTTAGTACAGTAAGCCTGCAACTTGTGCTTGCTTTACTTATGCGATCACCTTATATTGGTGTGGGGGGGGGGATAAATAAATGGAGAGTCATGGAGAACTGACCCAGTAGTGATGTATGGAAGTGAGAGCTGGACCATAAAGAAGGCTGATCGCCGAAGAATTGATGCTTTTGAATTATGGTGCTGGAGGAGAGTCCCATGGACTGCAAGAAGATCAAACCTATCATTCTTAAGGAAATCAGCCCTGAGTGCTCACTGGAAGGACAGATCCTGAAGCTGAGGCTCCAATACTTTGGCCACCTCATGAGAAGAGAAGACTCCCTGGAAAAGACCCTGATGCTGCGAAAGATGGAGGGCACAAGGAGAAGGGGACGACAGAGGACGAGATGGTTGGACAGTGTTCTCGAAGCTACCAGCATGAGTTTGACCAAACTGTGGGAGGCAGTGGAAGACAGGAGTGCCTGGCGTGCTCTGGTCCATGGGGTCACAAAGAGTCGGACACGAATAATGACTAAACAACAACAGGGAGATCCACCACTCTCAGCTCTCCATTTATTTATCGTTTCCCCACCTATGCTTCCAGCGAGCTTTTTCCTCACTTACTGGGCTTTGGGAAGGCAGTGCAAGGTCTCTGACAGCAAACAGGCCCCTGGAACCAAACCCTTGCATAAGTGGGGGGCTACTGTCTCATCATTGGCTCACCCCCAACTCTAGTTCTTTTATGAACAAGCTAAAAAGCACAGGTCCTAATACCATTCCTTGGGGGGCTCCACTTTCTGTATCTCTCCATTCGGAGAACTGTTCATTTATTCCTACTCCCTGCAACTTAACCAATTCCTGATCCAAAAGAGGACCTCTGCTCTTCTTATATGACTGCAAAGTTTACACAGAGGTCTTTGGTGAAGTACTTTGTCAAAAGCAGACTATAAATCGATAAGATGCAACAATAAAATCCAGTTAAAAATAAAACTACAACCTACAATAAAGCCATATCCAATTACAACTGGACCCTAAGCATCCCCAAAAGGAAACAACAACTGGAGCTTCAAGTGCTTTTCTCAAAGTGTAATGGGGTTATTTTTAATAAGGACATTAAAATAAAACTCACATTTAACAATGATTTAGAACACTTGTAGGTGCATGTTTTTTGTTTTACTTTTTTTGAGGGGGTGATGGCAATTGAACATTCCTTTGCTTTCCTAATACAAAGTTCTAAACGGAAATAGATGAGCAGTAAGCTTTTAACAGAATCATTTACAAGCATTTAGGCAAGTGTGAGAGAAGGAAATGATGTTAGGATTAATAAGACAGTCAACTCAGAAGAATACATGCAATGATGCTCTTTCAGAAGTACTACTATGGTTTATGCCAGGCTTCCCCAACCTGCGGCCCTCCAGATGTTTTGGCCTACAACTCCCATGATCCCTAGCTAACAGGACCAGTGGTCAGGGATGATGGGACTTGTAGTCCAAAACATCTGGAGGGCCTGGTTTATGCTATAGTTTGATATGCAGGTCAAAGTAGAAAAACGTTTCCACTGACACTTTAAAAAGGCATATATTTATGGATCATGTCCCTGTTTTGTTTAGAAATGACAGACAACAACTCTTAATTTATCAGAACTAGCTAGAAAATAAATTAAACTATGATTGATGACACTTCTCTCCTTTAAAAAATAAACATCATATTGGAAACTTTTCATCAATCAAATACTGTTTACACGTTTAGTAAACTCTCTCTCTCTCACACACACACAAACTTGAAAGGAGGAATGCCCAAGAAACTATAATATGGTGGGTTATAATCATGTGATTTCCACACATAAATCTAATTTCATACAAGCAAACAAAAAACCGTGTCTGTAGAATTTTAGAATTTAACCTCTGGGAATGAAAACATTTGTTTGGTTGACATTTAGGGATAATAGGCCCTAGGGAAAAGAAACATTAAGTGCAGTTTTTCTTCCCCCAGACATTTTTATTTTAAAAGCAGTGATGTAATTTGGTATAATCTATCACTCTTTTCAATTCTGATAGCTAAATGGGCAGTGTGCACACTTTGCAATTATGCATAAACAGTACTTATAGTGCGGTTGTTAACTGTCCTAGAAGCCACTATAGCCCTTGCTAATAAAAAAATATTTATTGCAACCATGAACCTGCATTTTAAGCCATTTGACAACATCTAAAGGCATATGCTCTCATCAGTTCAATAAATGTCAGAGCAGAGCCACACATGGAATCTCTACATTTAGAAGCAGTGCAAATCTAATCTAATCATCCTCTAATGTGGACAAACAGCGGACACACATATCCATTAAGCCAATTCCGCTGGGAGGCATATGGCCGTTCATTGCAGGGATACAGAATGTTTGACAAGATGTGTTTTTTGGCTCACACGGCAACACAATTTCGGCTTCAACTGAAAAGCTGGTTTGTTATTGACTGCAGAGTCCGTTGGGCAATGCCTTCTTTGATTTTATGTTCATGGTATTAAGCCTATCATATTATATTGCCAGATCAATGGGAAACAGCCAATTTGATTGCTCATGGATAATATAAAGTCTGTGTTGTTCTCTCTTTTCTCCAAGTCTTGATGACAAAAAATATATATGTTGCCTTTCGTAGAAAATAAAGTAGCTTCTAGGTTAAGAGTATGGCAATGCAATCTATGTGTTGCTTCTCTTAAGGCTGGGTCCAGAAGTTACAACTGGTGCAGAATGCTGTACCGACACTGCATGACACCTATGTACTCGTCTTGCTTTTGGCATATAAACTCTAAATAACTTGGCACCAGGTTACCTCCAAGAACTCCTTATTATATACCCTTGCCCAGCCTCTTAGATCCTCAGGAATGACACTTTTGGTAATGTGGTAAGCTCTGAAAGTTTGTCTTATGTCTACTAAGGGAAGAGCCTTTTTAGTGTAGTGGCAGCTGTCCTGCAGAATTCACTTCCAAAGATCATCAGGCAGGCACAGGATTAGCATTTAGGCATGGGCTAAAAACTCACCGATTACAAATCTACAACCAATGGACCATCAACTCATGTTGTAAAGTCACTGGAAATCCAAGAAAAGTTAGCCCTGGGTTGCACTAAACCATGCTCTTGCACAAGTGGGACAAATTTATGCCCTAGCAACAGGATTTCCCCTTCCTCTCCTTTTCTCTCTGTGGCCCCCTCCAAAATAAAAATAAAATTCTGGTCTGTACAGTTATGGGATTCTCCAGAGCAGACAGGAGGTTAAGTGGCAGAGGAGGAACACAGGAGGAAGAGAAAGTCCACTCATATTATAAATAAAATAATAAAATAAATAAATAATAATAATAATAATAACATATTTATACCCTGCCCATCTGGCTGGTTTTCCCCACTCTGGGAGACTCCCAACAGAATATAAAAAACATGATAAAACATCAAACATTAAAAACTTCACTAAACAAGACCTCCCTCAGATGTCGTCTAAAAATAATAATAAAAGAGTTGGATACAACTCTCTATTCTTAACATTTTATCTGAACCAAGACCATTTTACTGGAACCATTTCATTTTCCTTCCTATGCACCAGTTCTTTCCCTACAATTTCTCAGTAAAAATATACCACTGGTACACTCTCCACACCATCATTTATACCACCTAATTGGTGCTGCTCTTTCATGCTTTTTCAATATGAAAATTTTGTACTTCATTAAAGCACTAACTTCCTGGGCAATTCTCAAGTGTTCCCCAACCTGGCAGTGTCTAGTTCCTTCAAATACAGGACAGCTTTATCCCTTTTTAAAAAAATAAAGTCTATTTTGTGCAAACCCATCCATTTGTTAGACACTGCTTAACAAGTTCTACCAGTTTCTGCAAGTTGATAGTGACATCCTCCTCCTCCTCCTCCTCTTGGCAAGTACAGTGATACCTTGGGTTAAGTACTTAATTCGCTCCGGAGGTCTGTACTTAACCTGAAACTGTTCTTAACCTGAAGCACCACTTTAGCTAATGGGGCCTCCTGCTGCTGCCGTGCCGGCGGAGCACGATTTCTGTTCTCATCCTGAAGCAAAGTTCTTAACCTGAAGCAGTATTTCTGGGTTAGCGGAGTTACATACGCTTCATACCTGAAGCGTATGTAACCCGAGGTACCACTGTACCAACCAACTCTCACAAATGCATTTCAAAGTTCCTTCATGTGGGGTGTAGGTGGGTGCAGAGAAAAAGCGAACTTATTTTCAGCAAATTTTGCTCGCACTGGGCTACACTCACAGCGAAGAATTATTTCATTCATTAGAGTTAATGATAAAACTACTGGATAATGTAGTTTCTGTACATGTTGATATATATATATATTTCCTCAGCAATTTCTTCTGATATCCCCATCTCCAAGATGCTTTTGCTTACCAGGAAAACCTTCAAATGTAATTCTGTCTCCAGGAACAACCCCACTAGGAGGGATTAGAATCTCCACCTTCTCTGGCGTGCTAGCACACATCAGCATGGCTTGGGACAAAACTCCCCTCATTTTCACTGGCTTCAGGTTACAGAGAAATATCGCCATCCGGTTTTGCATCTGTACATGGGACGTAAGTTAAAACAAAAATGAAATTTAGCTGCATTTCTTTCACAATGAGGAAGCAAGGGGAAAAAATTAATGCATGCAACTGCACACAGTAAAACACACAAAAACACCAAGTATGCAGATACAAATATGTTAGCAACAATTAACATTCTTTCAAGACTAATTCAGTAGTAAAAGCCAGGAAACAATTAAGGATAACCGTCTTCTAATACAGACACACAAGAGGGTGCAAGAAAGACAACATTGTGTCCTGGTGCTTGGGTATAATAGCTGAAACAATGTTTTACTGACTTTCCATTCTTTGTGGTCGTGGGTTCCAACTTTTAACAGTTACTTAAGGAATTTTTGTAAAAACATCCTTCTAAACTAATCAGAGAAAGCATGCCCAGGTGGTTTACCATTCAGGATGTAATTAATCCAAAGACAGGAGGACATTTTTGAAGCATATTTTATCAAAACAGTTGTCCATAATGTGCACTGCAATTCATTTATTTAAAACTACAAATGCTTCTGGGTTTTTTCCTTCCCCCCACTAGGGAAGGCTACAATGAATAAGCAGAACAATGAGGCCTCATTAGCGAACATTGCAACTAACAACTTGGTCAAGAAAACAGATTGTTGTTCTTTTAATAGACATAAATCAAAAAAGATCTTTGACAATAAAGTTACTGATGATATTCAAAAACCTACCAGGCATACAAACCGATGTTCGTGTTTCCACACAAATTGTAATTTAAGCAGCAGTTTTTAATTAATACATTTGCCAACTTGAGGAGAAAGAGACTAAAAATGGTTATTAGACATTAATAAGTTTAGGTTGGAAGCTGCAGCCCATTTCTAACCACCTTATATATAAAAATATGCAACAGTCTGCCTTAAAATCATTGGGATTTCATTGCTTACAATTAACTGTTGGATAAATTTAAGGCAGTCCCAGCTGTCTTAAACTGAGGTAATAAAGGGATGTTTGGAACGCCAGGAACTGTAGAACAAGGAACAGAATTCCTTCTCCTGAATATTATATTGGATAAATATTGCTTAAAATTCAGGATCTGGCTTATTTCAATATGTTCAGCCAAAAAGGATGTTTCCCTTACTGCAGTTCCGTATAGTGTGGGTGTCCTTCAAGCTGTCTGGATTGTGGAGATTCCACTGTATTTTATGTAAGAGGCAAAACACAATGCCCTAGATGCTTCAAAACATATTGGGACACAGATGAAGCCAACAACAAACAGTCTCTCATATTTTTATTGCAATTGCTGGTATAATATAACTACCAAAACACACACAGAGCTGACTATGGGGTGGAATGTCCTTTTTATATTTCCTAGGAAAGAGAAAAAGTGAGCAGTAGATCCCAATGAGTGCTCTACGCAAACACAACTATCCATGGGGCTAATTATGCAGGTCTAGGGGAATTCTGCGTCCATGTTTACTGAGCTACCACCCTTGCTCATGGCAAACCTCTTCTGAAACTTAGGTGAGTTTTTCAAACATTCCTGAACTTTGGGGGGAGGCTGAAAAGGAGGACAATGCCCAAAAATGGCAAAGAAGAAGAATTGCACTCCTCAATCTTTAGGCATGCCTTAAGTAGCTGCACAGACACGGGTGGCATTGTGGGCTAAACCACACAGCCTAGGGCTTGCCGATCAGAAGGTCAGCGGTTCGAATCCCCACGACGGGGTGAACTCCCGTTCCTTGGTCCCTGCTCCTGGCAACCTAGCAGTTTGAAAGCACGCCAAAAAGTGCAAGTAGATAAATAGGTACCGCTCCGGTGGGAAGGTAAATGGCATTTCAGTGCACTGCTCTGTTTTGCCAGAAGCGGCTTAGTCATGCTGGCCACATGACCTAGAAGCTGTATGCCGGCTCCCTCGGCCAATAAAGTGAGAGGAGCGCTGCAACGCCAAAGTCGTCTGCGACTGGACCTAATGGTCCCTTTACCTTTACTAAGTAGCTGCACAGATCCTACCTAATGAGTCTGGAGGGTAAGACTTGATGGATTCAAGTTGCAAGAAAGGAGATACCAACTAAACTTCAGGAAGAACTTTCTGACGGTAAGAGCTGTTCAACAGTGGAATGGACTCCCTTGCGAGGTGGTGGACTCTCTTTCCTTGGAGGTTTCTAAGCAAAGGTTGGATGGCCATCTGCCACCAATGCCTTATTTGAGATTCCTGCATTGCAGGGGGTTGGACTAGATGACCCTTCCAACTCTAAAACTCTATGATTCTATCATTCAAGTGATAGTGTACATGGGCGCTCCTGATTTCCTTCAAGGTATGTCTCCATCCTTCAAAATGAACAAAGGACAGAACAGATGCATATGTGAAAGTTGAGCATTTTCCAGCAGTAAGTTAAGAAGTGAAGTTTACATCCAATTATTTTTTTTGCCTCCTCCACCAGTATTAGAAGAAATAATTTCAAGTTACACATTTACTCAAAATTACCCAGAACATTAGAAGATGTGTTTTGCTATTGAATACAGTGGTGCCTCGCAAGACGAAATTAATTCGTTCCGCAAGTTTTTTCTTCTTGCGAGTTTTTCGTCTTGCGATGCACGGTTTCCCATAGGAATGCATTGAAAATCAATTAATGCGTTCCTATGGAAACCGACTTCAGACCAGGTCCGGGGACAATCTGTCCCCCGACCTCTTCTGAAGGCTGGGGGGGGGGCGAAAGTCTTTGCTCCCCCCCCCACGGCAGCATTTTAAAATCGCCCCAGACAGCGGAGGACTTCTCCGCTGTCCGGGGCGATTTAAAAGCCCTCCCGGGAAGGCAGCCAGGGGGGACAAAGATTTTCGCCCCCGCCAGCCTTCAGAAGAGGTCCAGGACCTCTTCTGAAGGCTGGCGGGGGGCGAAAATCTTTGTCCCCCCTGCCTGCCTGCCTTTAAAAGCCCTCCCGGGAGAGCGGAGAAACGCAGCGCGTTTCTCCGCTCCCCCGGGAGGGCTTTTAAAAGGCAGGCAGGCAGGCAGGCAGGCAGGCAGGCAGGCAGGGGGACAAAGATTTTCGCCCCCCGCCAGCCTTCAGAAGGCTGGGGGGGCGAAAGTCTTTGCTCCCCCCCACGGCAGCATTTTAAAATCGCCCCGGACAGCGGAGGACTTCTCCGCTGTCCGGGGCGATTTAAAAGCCCTCCCGGGAAGGCAGCCAGGGGGGACAAAGATTTTCGCCCCCGCCAGCCTTCCCCTCTTTTGAAGCAAGGGGCGGCAACGGGGAGAAGATCGCTTCTCCCTTTGCCGCCCCTTGCCCTTTGCCGGCCCCTTGCTTCAAAAGGGGTCCGGGGGGAGAGAGAGGAAGGCGGGCGCCGGCCGTTCCCTCTGTCCCCTCTTTTGAAGCAAGGGGCGGCAACGGGGAGAAGATCGCTTCTCCACGTTGCCGCCCCTTGCTTCAAAAGAGGTCCGGGGAGAAAGGGGAAGACGCCAGCCATTTTAAAAAACCTCGGGACAGCGGGGGACTTCTCCGCTGTCCGGGGCGAATTTAAAATGCTGGCGGGCGCAGCGAAGCCTTCGCTGCGCCGCCAGCATTTTAAAAAAACCTCGGGACAAAGGAGAAGTCCCCCGCTGTCCAGGGTTTTTTTAAATGCTGCTGGGCGCAGCGCTGCTGCCCGGCAGCATTTTAAAATCGCCCCGGACAGCGGAGAAGTCCTCCGCTGTCCCGGGGTTTTTTAAAAACCTCTCCGCCCCCCGCCAGGCTTCAGAGCAGCCTTCCGAAGCCTGGCGGCGGGAGGAGGTCCGAGGACAGTGGGCAAGACGCCCTGTCCCAGAGATTTCCCTATGGGCTTTCGTCTTGCGAAGGAAGCCCATAGGGAAATTCGTTTTGCGAAGCGTCTCCAAAACGGAAAAACCTTTCGTCTAGCGGGTTTTCCGTCTTGCGAGGCGTTCGTCTTGCGGGGTACCACTGTAGCAGAATTAGGGACTCAGCTACATTCGCAAAGATAAAGCGCTTTATAGGCATTATAACACTATGACCCCAGATGGCGCTGTTGAGTCCCGTTTTTCGCCAACAGGATTTCCCTGTATGAAGTTGACAATGCATTTAAGTGAGTCACTTCTTTGATGTGTCTTGATCCAGCCTAGAGATCCAGCCTAGAATACTGTTTCACATTTCTTCCCTGCTAGGGGCTTCTTAAATCCCAAGAGAAGAAAACTGCATATGCTTCTGGGAAATATGGCTATGCCTTACACATGGATGAAAGGCATTCTTAGTGCATCCTCTGCTTGACAGACAGGCTGCAATAGCTCAAGTGGCATGACTACTAAAGAAGAAGAGACATCGTACCTTGACCCACTTGCCGCAGCATCCTATATATGGCAAAAAGAGCAGAAGAGCACATTCCACTGAAATATGCCTAGAACAGAGGTGGAGAGCCTGTGGTCCTGCAAATATTGGGTTCAAACTCCCATTAGCCATAGCTACAATGATCAGGAATGATGGGAACTGTAGCCTAGCAACATCTGCAGGGGCACAGCCACAGGCCCCCCACCCTTGGCCAGGAAGATGCAGACTGAGAAGTTATTACTGGCTACTCCAGGTGTGCTGCATACAGGAAGAGGACTACCAAGGTTCATTGAGTTGTTGCGGGAGTCGGATTCTGACGCTGGCAGAAGCTAGATTTGTTTTGGCTCCCCTCTATTTAATTTGTTTCTTAAGTAATAAGTTTGTGAACTTGAGATTATTTCAGTATCCATCTGCTGCATAACTTTAAGTGCCAAAACTAAATGTTGAATCATTATTTAAAAAATTAGATATTTAAAATAAACTTTATTTAGCAAAGAAAAAGAAGTATCAAAGGAATTCTTTATGTACCTCTTCTAAAGGAACATGTTTCACTAGACCACTGACAACAGTTCTAGGGTTTGTTTCTCCCACGTCAACTTCCTCAACGTACAGAGTATCAGCATCTGGGTGTTTCTTTGCTGATGTGATGCAACCAATTCGAAAATCAAGTCGGGAAACATCTAAAGGCTTTGAGTCATCATTCGCAGCTGACTGCTGCTTTTTCTCCTTCTTTTCTGCTAAAACAAAATCGGAAGCCATTTAATTACACAGGCACACACATCCTCGGGAATGCAATTCAAGCAGGTTTTCTTTTTCCCTGCCTGAAAAGAAATCCCACGGTACATTTTAACATTCTTTGATTTCAAAACAGAGACCCAAAATATTACAACCGTGTGACAACAGGCTTCCTTAAACATGGATAACTAGATAGAATTATGGTACCATTTCCTTTAATGCTTTGCTTAGAAGCAAAATGCACCTACCAAAAAATAAGGTTACAGTTTCTGCATACCTGACAGGATCCCTAGAATCACAGAAATGTATTAACTTGTAAATATAGCTTTAAAAAACAAAGATTCATAATGGACCTAACTAACTTGGGTCCATTAATTTAAATCTACTGCAAGTAGGCTAGAACCAACTGGTCTGCTGAGGACTTAGTTCTCAGTAGACCTTGTTCTTCAAGGACTGTGGAATGTTGAGGACAGTTAAAACCACAGACCGCTCCCTAGATTGTTAAGGGTATCAGTTGTGAAAAAGGGGAAAGAGATGGCAGTGAAAGGAATCTTGCCTGCTTGGGCTTCTACTTAGTATAGGATCAAGGAAGGAGGAAGCTGGGAAAGATTCTTTCTCCCCATTCCCATTGACCAGGAACTCTTCTTGATCAACTGCACCTACATGGCAATAAATCACTTAGGTTCAGGACATCCTCCTCTCGATTCCCCCTTGCCCCCCCCCCTTGGAGTGGCTGCTGAGACCATATAACACCCATCCTGAAAGACCTACATCGGTTCCAAGTATGTTTCTGAGCATAATTCAAAGTGTTGGTACTGACCTTTAAAGCATTAAACAGCCTCGGCCCAGTATACCTGAAGGAGCGTCTCTACCCCCATTGTCCGAGGGCCTTCTGGCGGTTCCCTCCATGCAAGAAGTGAGGTTGCAGGGAACCAGGCAGAGGGCCTTCTTGGTAGTGGCGCCCACCATGTGGAATGCCCTCCCACCAGATGTGAAGGAAATAAACAACTATCTGACTTTTAGAAGACACCTGAAGGCAGCCCTGTTTAGGGAGGTTTTTACTGTTTGATGTTTTATTGTGCTTTTAATTCTGTTGGGAGCCACCCAGAGTGGCTGGGCAAACCCAGCCAGATGGGCAGGGTATATATAATAAATTATTATTATTATTAACCCACCCCGGACTATATGGCCCCTGTTCCAAGATGGCTGGAGCACTGAACAAGAAGTGGAGATACCCTACAACAGGTTTGTTTCATGTCCCCACTTGTTTCCTCCAATTCTAACAATTCTCTTTTCATTTCTAAGGATATTGTATTAAACTAAATTATTTTGGAAATTTTGGAGCATTTTTAAATGGAAATCATTAGTTACTTCCGAGCTTTTATTTCACATAAGCTACACAGACATTCACTGACCACCTTGACTAACCTAGTCCAGAATAATTTTCCTGAAAAACTTCTGCATTGATAACATTCCTTTCTGGTGTTTATTAATGAAACTGAACTTCAAACATTTCCAAGTAGCATATGTAAAATCACCTTTCTTTTCCGCCTTGTCCTTTTTCTTCTTTTCTTCATTTGTTCCTTTAATTTGGTCTTTAGGACCAGATGGGGCTGCTGCAGCAGCGGTGGGCTGAGAGACTTCTTCTGAAAAGGATGCTGTTGCAGAAGGTGTTTCACTGGGCGGCAGAGAGACTTGTTTCACTACATTAAACACAAGGAAAGATTCAAAACATTGCCAAGATATATTTAATGGAGGAATATTATACATTTATTTAATAAAATGTATAAAATGCTAAAATTCAATCCATTAATAAAAAATGAGAGTTCTGTAGGTTTCAAAGGTTTTGTGAAATATTAGTAGTAATAAAATACAGGGATAAATTTCAGTATTGGGATTCTGTCATCTCCAAATGTCTGGGTTCACTTACACATATTAAATTTAATCCTTCTGGCTTTTATGGGTAAGCATCATGAGAATAGGCAATCAGACTGTTGATAGCAGCAAGAATTAATTGTGCCAATCACGTGAATTAGAATAAATTCTAATTGAACAGACACTTGCTTCCAAGTTAGATTGCAGCCTTAGCTAAATTTTAGTCAGCAGATTAAAATAGATTAGAAACAATAGGGATGAAATACATTGAAATATAAAAATCAATAGGTTAAAGTTATTGCTTTGGACAATAGCTTCATACCAAGCTAGCGGACAAGCACATCATAAAATTAGTATAAGATTACTAACATAGTATAATATTACTAACATAAAATTCGTATAATGTTACAACCGTATGCTTTTGAACTGGTTTACAGTTGAGTGTTCCCCTAACACAACAAGGATTGGGCAGGGCTAAAACATTTCTCTTCTCCACCCATTCATTCCAATGAGACAAGTTTTTTACTTGCAGAGTGCACCACACACACTCTTTAAGTGATAACACCACCTATCCTTTGGATGATATCATCTCATTTGGCTGCATGTATACGGTAGCCAAAGTCCCTAGTACACAAAGTTCATAGTACACAATGGCAAGCATAAAATTAAGTTTGTAAGTTACAAACTTAGGCGATTTCTATGTACTTAAACTCAGAGGCTCGCAGAAAATATTTCTGTATGCACAATTTTGAAGGGAGCAAAATGTGGATAACGGCTTCCAATATCATGCAATCGGATTTCTGCTTGTGCAACAGGATTTCCTCTTCGTCTCCTGTCCCCTGGGACAGCTCCCCTCATTCTTTAGAATTAAGAAGAAAATGCCATTTATAAGGGTTGTATGTATTTTGCATGCACACACAAATAAAATTCCAGTTTATCCCTTTTTCCCCTCCGCCAGCAGTTTTCAACCAAAACTGTTTAGAATTTGCGTATTTGAGAAATGGTGCACCCAAGATTGATTCTTGATGCTCCTTTTTGTCTGCTGGCTCAACTTCGCCTCTCACAACATTCCAGATCCTAAAGGCATGTAGAGTAACATTTCAGAAGGTGTAGCATGCACCTTCTGAAATGTTACTATGGTTTGCTATGATGCAGTAGAACAAAATGTATAGGTGGTGTCAGACAGGTAGTGAATACTACCCAGACAAGTAGCTTACCACCAATATTTTTCTTCATAAATCTAAGAATTGGGGTAAATATCCCTCTACACCCCAAAATACACTTTGTCCCTTCAGTGCCTTCCTAATATTTCTCCCCTTGTTATGGGAAATGAGTGTTCTGCAGACTGAAGAAGCCACACTTGCCTAAGACGACATTGCTCTCCCACCCCCAACCCCATTTCAGTCACCTCCATTCCGAATTTCAGCCTGGATCAATTCTTGTTTCAGCACATCAATTTCTTTCTTCAGTTTGGCATTTTCTACACGAAGCTTCTTTTCTTCCCTCAGAGATGCCTGCAAGACTACAGGAGACAAATTCTCCATTAGGAATCACATACACAGTACTGTCATAAAGGGAAAGCTTAATTTCACAACTCTGAAATTCAGGGTTTAGGGGTTTAAAGTTGACTTAAGACCCGCTTATTCTTAAAACTTCAAAAAACAGAAGAATCACAATTCGTGCATTAGTGCTCTTCTTTATGCTTCCCCCCCCCTCTAAATCCTTTCCTATTAAAAAAAAAACCTAGGGCAATAATCAAATTAAGACAAAAAAATAAATACGGGAGTACAGAGCACATTAGGAGTTTCTTGCAGTGCTCAAATTCCAGATTTATTCTGTTGTAGGGGGAAAATCGGAAACTATCAGCTTTTTTTAAAAAAGCAAACGAGGGGGGAAAGTCGTGACAACAGAGAAAGTCTCAACATAGCAACTAAAAGGAAAGATGTTTTTTCCATTAAGGTTCTGGAAATGAGAGGAGGAGATGTGAGTTCTAGCCTTTGCTTTTTCCACAGAATGCCCATATATAGCTACTTAACACCTCAGTTTTCTCAGTTATTAAAGATATTTTACCATCCCACACAAATGTCAAAATGACACACTAATATCTGTTATTACTGCTGAGTCTTAGGTATTTTTTCAATTAATTCCACAGCATAGCCAGAATTGGACTTTTTAATCACATTGGGCGCCTCCCCTCCAGCTCCCCTTTCCCTTGGGCACCTGCTCTGAGAAACGAGCTGTTGCTCTAAGGTTCTTGCGGGAATACAATTTGGAACTGTATTGTATGCCTATTACAATGGAATGCATAGCCAAACTGTTTATTCTTTAGTTTAAAAGTCTTCCTTATAACTACATCAGGAAAGCAGGGGTGGAAGGAAGATGACAGAGCATTTCTCTGTAAACTATAGTGAAATGAACTCTAGAGGCACTACCTGAGGGCAATGCAGAAACTGTTGAAAGGTTTGATCTCCTATATTTATAAGCAGAACATTAGTCTGTTGGTTCTAGGCCAAAATGACTCCTTTGGAATTTTTATTTTTTAATGTGAGGCTTTGGTTCAGACACATTGAACAATATGCTGAAAACCCTGGACCTGGAGACAATACGATCAAAAAGGTGGCAGGCACTTATTTTTTGCTTTGTGCTATAGTCCACAAATGTTAGCACAGCCTTTGTCAGCTTCTAGTGCCCCCCAGATGTTTTGGACTCCAAATCCCATCAGCCCCAAGAAGCATGCGGTATGTCTGGGCCTGATGGGAGTTGAAGTCCAAAAATCTTTAGAGTGCTAAAGGTCAGTAAACCCTGCTTTAAGCCACTGGAATATATAATGGCTTTGTACACAAGCCCATAAGCATAACAAAAGGTAAAAATATGCTTAAAGAGCTTCAACTGTGGCTCTAGATCATTATTATAACACAGATTGGGGCTTTGTGGTTTTTTAATCTTGACCTAGTCAAAGAATTTCATAGGTATCACAACCAACTCTTGGACAAATCAATGCTGAAAGCAAACAATTAAGAATCCATGCAGACGAATTGTTGAAGGGTTATTAAAGTCACAATAAACTACACAAAGTTATTAATTAGCACTATCACAGCATGTGCTAAAAGCTTAGTTATCAATCACATGATCTACATGTATAAAGTTGTATGTCCATTTCCAGAATCTCTTGTTAAAGGACCATGGGTTTAGGGGTGGGATATCCTATAACCAAGACCATAGAGAAATTCTTTCAGTCAAGCGTAGAGATAGATCAATCATCTGATTTCTATAAGGCTGTTTTATATGGTGGGCTTTTAACAATGCTAGAGAAGCAAACTGTAAATTCTTCAGAGTCAGGTGGCTTACATTTACACAGCTCTCACGCAATATTTTTTCTTCAAGAGGAGGATGCCACCATTCAGTACAGTCAGCTCTAGTTATTGCAGAATTCTCTCTGCACCTTGAGAAGGACTGGACTTGGCCCTTTTCTGGTATCACACACATGAGCAAGAGTTTGCTATCTTGCTCTTTAAAGAGGGCTTAATATTTCAGCACCCTGTGGATTTTAACTCTCCTCTCCCCATGAATAGGAATTACATTTTTATTCATCTAATACAGGGATGGGGGGCCAATGACCCTCAAGATGCTGTTGGATTCCAACTCCCATCAGTGCAAGCCAACATAGTGAAGAATGAGAGGGATTATAGTCCAACAAAATCCAGAGGGACACAGATCTGATTTAATAGGCCTGAACTGAGCTCTCAAGACAGTTTACACACTAATATACAAAAATTCAAACTAGCACCACAACTCTAAAACTTTTAAATTAAAATCTATGGGAACCAGCAGAATAAATAAAAACTACCCAAACACTTCTAGAAACAAGCAGATTTGAACCATGTGTCTTCATCGTATTATTAAATTGAAGGAACTGTGTATGAAAATATCCAGTGAGTGAGTATTCTCAAGATACACACATCTTTTGGAAGGCATTAAAATATACATGCTATACTTCAAATCCATTTTGTGGTTGGGAGCTACAAATGTGCACACCATCTCCTACATTTCTGCAGCACCTACTATTTAAATGAGTTCAATATTGGGACACTTATCTTACGTTTGTTTGGAAGAAACAGGAGAAGATCAATTCCAGCATGCCACAATGCACAGAACTGTAAAAATCCTCCATTTTAAGTTTTCAGGGTTGCTACAACGTGCTGGCATCATCTTTAAAACGTCGGCATGCCTTTAGTCCTGGCACTCTACCTGGATGTCCAGAAGATAATAGTTGCTAGAAATGTTTTTTTATTAACTGAATTTTATGCACTGGCTCCTATTCCTTGTTAAATCACAAAGGTACTGGCCTCCCAGTTTTGACTACTGAATGCGTTCTATAGAGGATGTTCTTGAAAACAGCATGGACATTTGCAGTGGCTGACAATTATTTTCTCTATATAATTCAATGTGTTTATTATTGTCCATAAAGCCCTACATGGCCTGGCATACCTTTTTCCAGATGTACCTTCCCTGAGAAGAGAAGACCTTGTGCCATCAAGTATAAAAGTTAATTCAGGAGTTGTTCATTTTACAGCCATGACAATAATTAAGGTTGGGGGCCTGCCAAGTATCAAAACTGTTTTGACACCTGGTAATTCCTTTGCTTTTTAAAATGATAGGAAACTTAGCACGTTTATTGCTTGCTGCAGGGAAGGTATAACCTAAATTCTGGGGTTTACATACTGGGCTAGATTCACAGTAAGAAATTCTCAACTCTGCTCACAGATTTTGCATGCAAGTTTTATGACAAAGCACATTTAAATGTTAAGGTCAAAGACTGATGCCTTACTGGCTTTTTCCTTTAGAAGAGCCACTTGCTGCTTAAGGTATTCGATAACTTGATCTGCTTCTGCGCCCTTCTGCTCCAGCCTGTTCAAAACTGCGTTGTTGGCTGCCATTTTCATCAAGGAACGGACGAAAAACCTAAATAAAAGGAAACAGGATGATGTGAATGTTTTATTAATGCAATTATCTGCAGCTCTGTTTTGAATTGACTAAGAACCAGCCACTGCCAGCGCCGTAGAACATCTAACAATAGAGCCTATTGGGTTTGCCCTGTCTAACTTAAAACACTCAGATTGAAAGGAATTGTCAAGCTGATTTTGCTGTGTGACATTATTTTCCAGTATTCTGGAAGAAAAGTGATTTTGGTCCACCATCTGTAACAAACATGTTTCTTAATTCTACTTTTTATATAATGCAAGGCTGAGTCTGCTAAAGTTAGGTCGTTTTAACAACTACTTATTTCCAAAAGAGCACTAAGGTGTAGGGCAGGGGTGGGAAACCTGTGCTCCTACTGAGGTTCCTGGACTCCAACTCCCATCATCCCTGACCATTGGGCCATGATGGCTGGATCTGATGGGAGTTGGGTGTCCAACCACATCTGGAGGCCCATAGGTATAGGGGTTTTGTGTGGCACTGCCAACTTATCAATAATTAATTATTATTATTATTATTATTATTATTATTATTATTATTATTATTATTGCTATCTGTCAACACTGGAAGGGCTATGGAAGAGTTAAAGGGCATCATCCGGTGATGTTCACCCATGTGTGCATGGAAATCCATTTCTGCAATAGAACTTTCTCTTTTTCCCCACTCCAGCCCTAGCCCCTCTTGCCTCCGCCCTGACACACCTCTAATATTTGCTCTAGAAGGTCCTCCAACCCCTCTGGAACATATTTAGGAGCAGGAGGTACAGAGGAAAGGAAGATGGGAAAGTCCCATTACAAAAGCACACATTTGCTCTTGCTACTTTGGATTTTACCCAGCGTAGTTATTGATATTATTTTTTTCTGAAAATATATTATACAATGATATTATACCTTTTTTTAAAAAAAGAGCACATAGTTAATAATAATCTCTACTTCTGAAAGCCTAAAACAGCAGCAGCATGTATCCGTTATAGATCTCCAGGAAGTGATATAAAGGAAGAATTTTGTATAATCAAAACTGACTGAAACCGCCATATATAAGAGGAAAATTCGCAGTGGAAGCATAAAGTTCAAGGCAGTAAGCTGTAGTTTATTTCTATGAGCATGAAGATCCAGAGCAAAAAGACAAAGAAACATCTTGTGTAATCTGCACAGAAAAGCAATTCACCTTGTGCATCGTGCAATTCCTAGTTTTCAAAGATTCCCCTTTCTTTTCGTACCAAAAGAACCTAGCAATTAAAGCTTAAGGACTGATGTTCAGAGAAAAAAGGCCTCAAGTAGGTTTTAGATTCCAGTCCTGATTCCAGGGAGATTTTTAAATTAATGCAGGATTAAATGTATGTTCTATGTTACTAGACAAACACAGCCAAATGTTTTCTATTCTTCCCTCCCTTTGCTACAGCAGCACTAGAAATGAGAACGGTTGGTTTCCCCAAGTACTCTACAAAATCTAGAATGCTGTAGACAGCAGAAACTGTATGACTGCCGAAACATGGATCTACAGCATAACTGTCTTGTCTGAAACAACAAATTCTAAATTGTGTCCTTTTCTGTTGCCCCATTCATCAGATCACTTCAATTGTACTTTATATAAAAAAACTAGTTTCTGACAAAAACATTGTCTAAGAATACTATTCATTATACTTATGGACTAACCAAGTCACTATATACAAAACATGCTAGCATACAACGTAATTATTAAAGCAATAAAATATCCAGTTTTCATTGGGATAAAGACTTCACAACTTCTTATAATTTGTAGAAGATAAAATTGGAGGATTATTACAAGGATTATTCTAATTATTCTAATACATTGTAATTACAGGAATGTCATAAAAAAACCACAGCTATAAATCAAACTAATTTCTGATGCAGATTGGAGGGCAAAAACTTGCTTCAGTGACACGATTATCTGGTTATTTTCTTAATGCTGATAGAAACACTGGGTTCTTTTTGCTAATCTGAGAACAATTCTAGCTGATAAAATAATTATGAACCAAGAGATCTCACAACAAAGAAGACATTGTGATATTCACAAGTTGTGCTTTTGGTTCTATCTAGCCTAGTATTATTCTTTAAATTCATTTCTGAAGCATCTGCTTTCAATATACAAGTCTTAACACTTCAGACACAGCATTTAAACAAAGAAATAGAGGCTTCTTACTAGCAAACTGTGTTTTAAGGATCCAAAAATATACCATGACAATTTAAGAAAGCATGCAAGTTACATAAAATCAGTATTAAATGCAATCCTGGGCTTTATAGTCCAAAATAATGAGGACAGTAACAATAAAGGAATCCCCCAAATGACTGCACTTAATCATGTGTCAAAGAAACAGAACAGTTGTCTGATAGAAAACATAATCACTTTACTCAGTGTCATTCTTTTACACCCGCAGTTCACTATGCCATGCACTGTCAAATCAAGTAGAAAGAAAAGAAATCTATCTTCTTAAGCCCATATAACTGGAACGGTTAAAAAAGAGGGGACAACCCTTATTATTCTGCTAGTTTCTGTATTACCTTAATATTAATATTTGGTCCAGTGCTTAAACTGAAAGCATAAACCAGATTCAAAAGCACCCAGCCACACTGTCTGGCAGCAACTGGCCCTGGTCAGCTATTTATAAACACACCACTTCAACAAGATATTAGGTTGGTATTTCAGTCATATATTTGGACTAGTGCTTAGGTTTAGAAAATATTCTGCAGATGATATGCATGCAGAAATGTACTAGTTTCAGAGTTATCATACTGAAAGCCTGGAAAGACCACTTGAATTTGGCCACAGTAAGTGCTGGATTGATGAGTTTTATGGCTACACGGCAGAATTTTTGAAGCTAACACCTCTGGCTTTCCCCTTTTTTCACTTGGGAAGCTCTCTGGTCATTCAAGAGATAACAGATTTTCTATTTTCTATTCAAATAATAACATGGGTTCAGCTATAAGACAATTACTGCTTCAAAGCCGCAGTGATTGAAAAGTAACCTATCCGTGCTTTACAAATATTTCACAATTTGTTTGTGTTCAGAAACAACAGTGAGAGAACCTAGCAGTAACAGTATAGATTGTCATTTTATGTCAGTGACACTAGTACAGGACTGTGGAATGGCACGAATGTAATTAACCATGATTTAATGATCAAGCAGGAATGGCCCAGTTCACATGTATCACTAAGCCAAACCATGGCTTAGTGAGAATGCGTGAGGGTTCCTAGACAAGAGACAACAGGTGCTGAGCATAGCCACAGTTTCACATAGGGTGTCATCCAAACCCAAGTTTGCAGTTTGTCCTCTCCAGACAAATCACAAGCCGTGGACACTGTTTTATAGCTTGTGGAGTGCAACAACCCACAAGCTCAGGTTCACACGGCAGGTTCAGCCAAACCAAGGTTAGCTCATGGCAGGGCAACAGCAGGAGAAACAAGGGAGGAATGTAGTGGCCGTGATCTCTACTCTGGAACCAGCACACTCACGATTTCACACTGAGCCATAGTTTTGGCTTAGAGCTACATGCAAGCCAGGTCACAGTGTGTGATATCCTACAGCCGATGACTTTATTATTCCATAAATCACAAATGCTTAAAAAAAAGAGAGAGAGAATGCAAGCAAAGGTCCTTAGATTTTGTATTCCAGCCACACTGACACAAGGCAGATCAAGCACTTCCCCCCCCCTGTTTGGATTAAGCAAGGGAAACAAATGTCAGCATTTAAACAAACATACAGAAATATAAACTTTGCTGCAAACTTTTTTAAAAAAAAAACCTAGCACAGCTGTTTTAGTAGAACATGAGAACTTCAGTAGGTTAAGTTCAGCTGCGGGACTCTTGAACAAGTCAAATCACGATCCTACTCAATTCACATTGCGGAAGCTTAGTTGAGAGCTCTTTAGTAGCACTTAGCAGATTTCAGTTGAATCACTTCATAAACTTTTTACTGCTGCTTAAACCTACCAATTTCAGCCTACCTGCGCAACAGATTTCTTAAATAAATAAGTAAGTAAGTAAGTAAGTAAGTAAGTAAATAAATAAATAAATAAATGTGTGATCTGTAAGATAGTATACTTCCACTTAAAACTTTCTTCTATTAAGCTGCACCTACTGGGAGTAAGCCCCACAAAACCCACAAGAAATTTACTTCTGAGTAAGCATGTACAGGACAGTGATGTTACTCAAAGAAAGCAATGAAACTAAGAGTACAAGGTTAAGCACTTCCTCAGTAGCACTATATGTAAGATAATCCTGATAACAGCTGAAAATAGATCACCAGGGAATTTTTTTAACAGGTTCTGTTACAACAGAGAAGTCTCCCTATGACTAGTGTATCTATTTTGAACTGCTAGGATTTCAATCTCTGTTGTCTAGTTCAGGCAGTGCACTGATATTCTACACAATTTCTACACTGAGCAGAATACAGCCATACAAGAACCCTAAGTAAAACTGTTCAACATCTACAGTTCTAAAGATAGTCATTGCAGAAGAGCTATGCCAACAGCGGTACGGAGACAGATTTTACCGCTGCCAAACAGGCAAGTTGCTTTTCTTTTTAAAACCAGAATGCCTTTTCAGCTACAGATTTTTATTTTTTTAAATCTCTGGATACACTCTTCTCTTTTGTCTGCGCTGTAGCTGCTTAGGAGAGTGGCCCTAGTTTCTAACTCTCAGAGTCCCACATCTCTTTGTCATTTTGGCAGAACATTTTACTGTATGGTAATTGGAATAATTAAGCCATCCCAAGTACATTTTTAATATCATTCCTAATAGGAATACAAACCCATTCAGACCACAAAGTCCCCCCCCTCTAAATACAGTCTATAAAGTATGTTGAGTTATGTGGGAACAATCACACTTGCTGGTCTAGCAAATCTTTCTGGCCACCCATTCCAAGACTGCGCTAATGATTCCACTTCTGCTCTCTGGATACTAAAATAAGGATGCTATAACAAAGACGTGTACAATAACTTCTCTTTCTCACAGGCTACAATGGT